AGCGAGAACGAAAGGCTATCATCTTGATTTGAGTCAACAGTTTGGAAGGAGATATCGTCAATCATATCCTTGAACTGACTTGCATCGCGCGTGCTTGACTCAAATTTCGAGACAAAACGGATTTCTTGAATGTCATCGCCAATCCAGGAGCGAACCAGAGCTAGAGATCGATCTCTCTGTGGCTACTCTCCATTGAAGAAAGAGAGAATAATGTATTTTGAACTGCATGCAAAGCAACTCTCTCTCACTTCGAAATAAGGACATAGTCACTGTACTGTAAACTGCCCGTCGATCGACGTGGATGCACGATAAGCAATCCAATAGGCACGCTTTTCCTTTAGCAAGATTGCCCGAAAAAATGTGGTTTCCAGACACCAAAAAACTCATACGGTGCACGCGCCTGCGGACAACAACAAAACTCATAAGGATGGTTGCAAGGATTGCACTGAAGGTGTTGGCGATCCCCAAGGTGAAGGAATTTGACGTCGTTCGTGGAGATTACCACTTGACGCTCCAAATGAAGTTTGAATTTTCACTCTCCCCACATGTGTAGTGTGATCGCGATTCAAATTCTGGACGCTGTTCTGTTTTCGTCAGGCAACCAAAATTTGTCGTATTACCCTCCACCGTACCTGTCCCGTACCTGTCCCGTACCTGTCCCATACCTATCCCGTACCGTACCGTACAATCAAAGACGGCTGGCCACAATGCATATTCAAATAGGGCTTTCAAATACAAGATCATAACGTGAAGCAACTGAAGAATTAGTATGTATGCGAAGTGTATCGGGGGATGCATGCAGGGCGATAGTGCGGGTTCGAATCCCAGGTTTAATATGTCTAAAAACAAAAAGTAGAAACTTATAAGAATTTATAACATCCCTATTCTTTTTTGTCTAGGTCATCAAGACAAAAAAGCATAGCGTAGGGCCCTGAGCTTCCAAGCTCTCTCGTTTTGTGGTATTCTCTAGCTTCTGTTTGTTTTGCAGTTGTTCTTGTGCAACCCCCCACCCATTTTTTCGATGCCTAGTTGCAACGCTGACGCCGAGACCTCTGGTCGGTTGAGTTGCTCCCAGCACATCAGCACGTCGTCCCTACATCCTCTATGTTTTGTCCTTTTCCTCGTTTCTTTTTGTTCTCCACCTGTTTTCCAGTAGGGCTGTGTCAATAGTAAAAATAAAAATAAATAAAAACGTGTAGTGGCAATAAATAAGATAAATTGTGCACTCATAACAACAGCAAAAATGAAGAAAGTCAAGTTCCATAACGTTTTCTTGTGACTGTCATCAGTGGAACGCCGTCACATAAAAATGTAATAACTAAAACACACACTTACATGTATATACATGTAGCTAATATGGTTTCAGGTAGAAATACAGCAGCTAACAAGAACAACAAGCGAAGTTTGCACCTTTGCAATGTGTGAATATAGTGTATGTGAGTGAGTGTATGTGAAGAAAGTTTCTTCAAGCAATTGCAGGTGTTGGAAGCTGTGTATATTCGTACTCGTGACCCTGTGCTATGTAAACAGAAAGAAAACGTTGTATCACTCACACTCTTCAAGTAATACACACGCACCATTACATTCATTCACACAGTATCACATTCATCTGCCACTACCTTTCTCACATACACTACATGTATATTCACACATTGCAAAGGTGCAAACTTCGCTTTTTGTACTTGTTAGCTGCTGTATTTCTACCTGAAACCATATTAGCTACATGTATATAAGTGTGTGTTTTAGTTATTACATTTTTATGTGACGGCGTTCCACTGATAGTCACAAGAAAACGTTATGGAACTTGACTTTCTTCATTTTTGCTGTTGTTATGAGTGCACAATTTATCTTATTTATTGCCATTTTACGACTATTGTCTCCTCGTCGATTGTTTAAAAACGTGTAGGGTGTAGGGCTTGGCGGATAATGCCGGCAGAATTTTCAGCAGAAAACGCCTGTTTGGGGGGGGGGGGGGGTCGAGCATATTTCGGCAGAACGGGGGCTGAAAAAGCATTCTCTGCCATGTCAAATGACAGTTACCACGGAATTGGCGTGCGACGTTCTGCTTTTGCAGCAGATTTGCCGCGTTCTTCGACACGCAGTCCATCCATCCACCAAATGTGGCCGGAACTATTACTTTGCGGAAGGTAGCAGCCTTGAATGGCAGGCCAGTGGCAGAAGTCTACGAGTCGTAGATCTACATAATATGGCCCAGTTGCAGCGATTTTCGACCTTCGGTGAAAAAGCCCGCGTGTGAAAAGATTCAAATCAAATCATCTTTTGCTGCGCAAGCCGGGCCGCGGACGGGTATTCCGTGGATCACGACACCAGTGAAGTCAGACTTGAAAATGTTCGCAAAACAAGCATTTTGCAACGAAGGTCGAAAATCGCTGCAACTGGGCCATATTATGTAGTGTGGCTAGCCTTCATCTGAAGTGCGCCTGCGCCGGCCACATTGTGTTCTTTTTCATGCCTTGTCTAGTATTTCACATGACTCATCTTTTTAGATCCTGAACCCAATTATGTGTGCCAAGTGTATTTTTACATAACTGGATTTCAGCAGAAATTTCAGCAGAAAATGCACTTTCATGAGCAGAATATTGAGCAGACCGAAAAGCAGAATGAGGGATTTCGGCGAGCATTATCCGCCTAGCCCTAGTAGGGTGTGCATAGGTAACAAAAAGCCTCTTGTACGGGCAAAGCAAATGTGCTTACATTAAATATTATGACACAAAATCTCAATCCAAAAAAATGAACAAAACGCCAAGAATCTGAAGAAGAAGACTCAATCCAATTCTTTGTTGCCATAACTGTCTTGGCCGTTTTTATGCCGATGTACTCCGTGTGGTGTAGACCATGTGTGCATTGCATATACATAATTTATTGGTGGTCAATTCACATGGCTTCACACTGCAAGTTCGCAGGTTGTGTTGAGCGGGCAGTTCAATACTACTAGTGTCTGGCGCTAGTCTTGATCTGTCTCATTCAGATCTTGTCCGCTATCGTTTAGAGAAAACCTGTGAGACTGTGGGTGCACATCCAGTGCATTTGCAGATTTGCGTGCTTCTCTTGCGACGGGCGTACATGTACATGGTACATCATGGTGTGTACATTGTATGTGTGCGTGTGGGCGTGCGTGTGTAAGGGTTCCAACATTTCGGGGATGGGAATACTGAATAGCTCGGCTGGTACAGTACTACTAGTACTAGTAACAGTACATCATAATGATTTTTCCGTACTCTTGAGTCATGGCCATGGGTGTTCCTGGGTCCGTGGCTTTGGGTACTTGCGGGCAGTTACTGAGTAGCTCCATGTACCGTGGCATGATGTACATGTACAGACTGTGTCGATGTCAGTAGGTAGGGTCCTAGGGACCGTTCCAAATACATGCTACAAACTTTAGTACAAAGTACCAATGGCACATCCGCGTCGTAGACCAGGTATCTCTCTTCGTCTAATACTGTACTACAGACCGATATCTACCCCGATTTATCACTCCCTTAGTATTGACTCCCATAGATTTTTGCCATACCTAATATTCCTGCATATTTCACTCCTTAGGGCTATATTGACCGCTTATATTTGACCAGCAATAGGTGCCTAAGGCGAGTGTTTGGCCATGATCAGTATACTTCTATCGATTTCATTCTCACCAAATATAACCTGTATACTTTCTCTCGCCGTGTAAACTTGAAGCTGTTTGTGTTTGTTTTTAGGTGTCTATCTCGTTGCACCAGTCCTCTTTTAAGCACGATATTTACCCCCCGCTCTGCATCATGCCGCACAAATGCTGCTACCCGCGGTCAAGCTTCAGCTGCTCTGAACCTACCCAGAGCTACGTCTCGTTACGGCCTGAATGCTATTTCATTTTTGGCAGCAGACAGATGGAACATGCTTCCACCTGGATGTCGTCAAGCTAAGCCCCTTTCTGCATTTGTCACAAGCACCAAGTCATTCCTAGGGTTCCCAGTAAAAAGGCAACGCCTGTTGGGAGTTCCCTAGTAAAATAATAAATTCTACTACTACTACTACTACTACTCCTTTTTAGCGATTGAACACATGCTTTGGTTAGTCGTGATAAATCTAATATTGACTTCGTACTTGGTCAGTATAGGAAATAAAAGACCTCGTAAAAGACCTTGGCTTCGCCTCGGTCTTTTACTCGGCTTTTATTTCCTATATTGACCTCGTACTCAGTCAATATTAGATACATATTCATGCTCTGCACATCCACCTAGTAGTACCTGTACCATGTGTACTAGGCTGTAGTGTAGTGTTAGCATGTACACTGTAGTGTGCGTGAAAACTACCAGTAGCGTACTACTACTACGAGCACAGTCAGTGTCGTGTTCAACGCTGTAGCTGTGCGCAAGACCGATCCACCGGCGGGGCGCGTTGTGTGAGATCGAGAGGCTACTACATGTACAAGCTGCCGTGTACATGGTGTATGGCAGGCAGGGAGGATCTAGGACTAGGATGCAAAGAAGTCAAAGAAAATAATAATAAAATGCAAGTGAATAACACTATTGATTGTATACAGTGATCGTACACGTGCCCACACCGGTGCGGATCGAACGATTATAGTGCATGCGCCGGCACGTGCACGATTCGGCTACAGCTATCCTATGCGCCTATGCCTATGCCTAGTACTAGTACGGTAGTAGACTAGCGCTAGGTACAGCCTACACTACACTAGTAGTAGTAGTCACTACGTCTACAGTCTGGGGTCGGGGGCTAGCCACGCCAGCGCGCTAGCGCGCGCACGCAGCCGGCCACGTCCTTTTGATTTTGACATATTTTCAGCCTCTGAGCTGGTCTGGAACGGACCGATCGATCGCGCACGCTGTGCTGCCGTTGTACGCAATGATTATGTAGACCCCAGCTGGAGTGCAGGGATTTGTGCAGGAAACGATGCCAGTTGCTCTCAGTCTTCTTCGTTGCCTTTTCGCACTCGAGTCATTTGTAGCTTCGTCTTCTTTTCAATCTCCTAAATCATCATCATGGGTGACTGGTCGAATGGTCTCTGCGGCTGCTTCAGCAACTGCACGCTATGCCTCGTGACATGTCTAGTGCCGTGCATGGTCATCGGAAAGACTGCCGAGGCTGTGGATAAGAGCTGTGTGATGTGCTGTCTGGCTAGCATGGTGCCCATCCTCAACATCTTGTGTTTCTTGCAAATTCGCGGCGACGTGCGTGAGAAACAGAACATTGACGGCAGCTGCTGCGGCGACTTGCTCTATTTCCTCTTCTGCCCGTTCTGTTCGGTGGTACAGACGGCCAACGAAGTCGGCGTCTTCTCCTAAACTGGACGCTGGAGCGCGCGCAGTCTCTCCCCATCCTCTTGTCGTCTAGTACTCTACCCTTTTCTGGTCTTTCGTCCTGGGTGCCAGCTTGCCTCTGTCAGACTATTCGCTAGCATCGCTACTGGCTAGTTGATCACTAGCCCACCCACTCACTGAGCGCTAATGTTGATTGCCGTAAGTTAGCTCGTCTTCTAATGTCCTCTCTTCACTCTGCTGCTTATCCCCTCTCGCTACCTGGACGATGTGTAGGGACGCTGGGGGTTGAACTGCGCGCGCGATTGCCGCGTTCCCTCCGTCCTGTGTTGCTGTTGCGTCTCAGCGTCCGTCGCCGAGCGGTCGTGCTGCGCTCTGAAGAGGGATCATGATGTCGTCTGGAACTCCTGGTGGTGACATTCGCTATCGCGTCCCACTCGGCGAGGCTTGATCTTGTCCTGGCTGGATCTGGTCGCATGCACCTACGCACCGCCGGTACTTTCTCTCACCCTCTCTCTCTCTCTCTCTCTCCGCTTTTAGCACAATGTCATAATTATTATTCGTAGGTAGTGTCCCAATTTATTATGTTTCATCGACGTAACGTTCTAACTTCTCACACAGTCCGTACGTGTATGTGTATGGATGTTGGCTAGCATTTCGAGTAAGCAGAGTCCGCCGCTGTATATTCCCAATATCCGTCGTCTCTTATTGTTGTTATGTTCCCTACATAGTGCAGTCGTATAGATTCGTTCTGGTTTTTCGCCATGACTATTTGTTTGTTTCGTTTTGTTTGATACCCCGTTATACCAGTAACCGCTGTCGTGGTGTTGTGCAGCGTTCTCTTGTGATTCTCCTGCTTTGGCGTATCCTGGATTTCGTTCTCCCTGACCCCGTGTCGGTCCATCCGTGTCTGTCTAGAACAAATTATGTGTGAGATCTGAAACAAAGTGTTCTGTGTCGTGTAGTGCGGCGGCGAAGCAGAAGTGGCGCAGTGCGTGTGTACGTGTGTGCGTGCATGTGTGCGTGCCCGCGTGTGTGTGTTAGGGCCAGGGGTGTGTTTTTGAATCACTCAGGAGTGAACTGTGGTACTCGACATAACGACGTAGATCTACGAAAGACGCATTGGTGCAGCAGCAGTACTGTGCAGTAGTACTGTGCAGCAGTACTGTGCAGTAGTACTGTGCAGTAGTACTGTGCAGTAGTACTGTGCAGTAGTACTGTGCAGTAGTACTGTGCAGTAGTACTGTGCAGTAGTACTGTGCAGTAGTACTGTGCAGTAGTACTGTGCAGTAGTAATCATTGACCTGAGAAATCTGGTACATTTACTTGAACTACGAGTAATTCATTGTCCGTCTTCATTGTCCGTCTTCATTGTCCGTCTTCATTGTCCGTCTTCATTGTCCGTCTTCATTGTCCTTCCCATTGTGCAGACATTTCCGACGATTGTGCACTCCCTCCCATCCATGCATGCACAACATCTGTACGCACCTGTCCAGTGTTGCTGGGAATTATTTTTCTCTCTCCCTCTCTTTTTCTCTCTCTCTCTCTCTCTCTCTCTCTCTCTCTCTCTCTCTCTCTCTCTCTCTCTCTCTCTCTCTCTCTCTCTCTCTCTCTCTCTCTCTCCTCTCTCCTCTCTCTCTCTCTCTCTCTCTCTCTCTCTCTCTCTCTCTCTCTCTCTCTCTCTCTCTCTCTCTCTCTCTCTCTCTCTCTCTCTCTCTCTCTCTCTCTCTCTCTCTCTCTCTCTCTCTCTCTCTCTCTCTCTCTCTCTCTCTCTCTCTCTCTCTCTCTCTCTCTCTCTCTCTCTCTCTCTCTCTCTCTCTCTCTCTCTCTCTCTCTCTCTCCTTCACATTTGGATCCCTGTCTTCGTGCCTAGCTGTGTTCAAACTGCTACTGTTTTGTCCCTAGCAATCATTGAATGCAAGGTCATGTAGTATGTTCTATGAAAGCATTCGCACGGCATGCAGAAAGGAGGAGTCAGGACCTATGCAAGTCTCTTCTGTGCGTCACAACATGCGTTTGTCACAAAGTGACCCTCTTTACACGGTACAGTGTAATGAGTATGTACTAGGATCTGCTACAGAAAGAAAATGAAGTGCCTGGTGGGGCCGTGGGCTGTGGAATGCATACAAACAGCTAATCACTGTACAATTAGTACACGTCTCTACAGAGCAGACTCTGAGAAGTTTTGAGCGCCAGGCCAGGTCTGTCGTTGACAGTACAATCTGTGCAATGACTTTATTTGGTATTGCTTGACACGTCGTCTTCGGGGCTCTTGGCAATCAGATGCCAAAACACATGTCAGTCGTTGACGGGGCATAAAAGCGACACACCTCACGTTCTCCTTCACGACGCTTGTCCGTGGGTGTGTCCACTATAGTACTATTCAGTAAAGACAGTCTAGTGCAGTGCTGGCAACTGAAATCCGACCCCCTGAGCGTTGGGTTCGCATTCTTTGCGATGTGAGCGCACCGCTCAGGCCGGGTCGGATTTCAGTTGCCAGCACTGCACTGTACTGTACTCGTTGTGCGGAGTATCGCGTGATCGCGAGTGCCCACTTTGCCCAGACAGTAGTGCGAGCACTTGCCCTTTCACCGGACTTGACAGTCGAGTCTGCAGACGTAGGCTGCCAATGACATTGGTGTCATTATGTTCTTGGCCTACAACTATTACATGTATGCTGGCCGAAGCAAACACAGCATAAGTACATGTACATGTATGTTGCCAGGTGATTTGTATTGAAAATTGTTTAAAAAAATAGCAGACCGGTTCTATTCTTGTAGCCCTGCAATCCTCAAACTCACTACGTTCTCAAAAGTTGCGATCCATTTTACATTGACAATGACAGTCCTTGTTTCGGAAAAATTACCTGATCATCGCTCAGTGATCATCCGGCTTCTCAGTGAGTGCGTTCGATTACACACTTGAATCGATTCAAGTGCATTCAAGTCGTTCGATTTTCATGTCATGAGCCCTGGAATCGATTCGGAATCCATTCACTCTATTCACATGGGGTGATGTGAATAGCGCGAATCGATTCATGAATCGATTCGTGAATCGATTCGCGTGCATAATCGAACGCACTCATCAGCTCACTGGACCCTGCGCATGGTCAGTCTGAGTTCCGCTCACGTCATTGCTTTTTGAACTTTACAATCTGCCATTCCAGCATCATCATTCTAAAATTTAAAAAGCCGTCAAGGGTTATACTGCAGCGCTCACCAGCGGAGAAAGGAGAAATCCTGACGACGGTTGTGACGAATAGGCTCCGGAAAAACTGCTCGCCCAGTGCGGTGGTGGGAAATCTGCCACACCGTCACCACTACCGACTGCACAGTGGCAGGTGATTTTGCTTGGGTGATTGGAACAGCCAGAGTTTGAATCTGCAATCTACAATCATGTGTCATGTACTGTACGCGTTGAAAGTGTGACGAGTCTAAAGATTAAAGGGGAAGTTAAAAATTTCACCAGTTGTAGTCTTCGGGGTGCTGAGTCGAATGGTCTTGGTCCAAGAAAGCTGAGCCGCTCCCTTCCTACTTGAATCCCAATCGAACTCGCGCACTTCCACTGAAACTGGGTGACTGCGCCCTACTAGATGGGGATTTGTATGCAAAATGTCACTAAAAGCGCCATTTCGTTCTTATAAAAGCACGGATGACCGCGATTGGCCCATATGTTGTAGTCTTTTGGACGCTGAGTCGACTGGTTTTGGTCCGAAAAGTAGGGGTGCGCGGATTATGCTCGCATGCAACCGATATTATGCTTTTGGGCATTTCCCGCGGAACTTCGAAAGTATTCTCCCAAAACATCGAAAAAATTCTCCAGAATTTCCCCCCCCCCCCCCAAAAAGACCCCCAGCACGAACCGTGCTTTGCGGATGCTCTTTCGTATGCAAAATGGACTGTCAGGCACGTGATCACTGCATGCATGATCTACACTCTACACTACCGGTACTAGATATGACTGACTGTACACAGCTACTACAATGTACACTACTACTGTACATGTATGTCGTGTCCGGGTATTGCTGCATGTAATGTACGTGCGTCCATGGATGCGCTGCGCGCTTGTTCTCTGGCAGATCAAAATTGACAGAATTCCCCCAAAACTCTTCTGAAGGTCAATGGATCTGACAAAAGATCGATAGAATTCCCCTAAAATTCCCAACATTTTCTCGACGATAGTATTCCCAAATTATTCCGCGAATAATCCGCGCACCCCTACCGAAAAGGCTGCGATGCAGCGTTCCTCCTTTATTCCCAATCGAGCATGGTTGAACAAGCGGTCACGTGCTCCTGCGTACACCAGTCACCTGGTCACCGTGCCTGCAGGGTACAACTTACTAGCCTGTTTGACCTTTTTTGGGTGCAGTCCTGTCACTCGAGTTGAACTCGAGTTGAACCTTGGTGTGAAAGTTGTCGCCTGCTGGCGTGGTGACCAGGTGATTTGGGCACCCAGGAGCACGTGACCGCTTGTTCAACCATGTTCGATTGGGAATAAGGGCCGAACGCTGCATCGCAGCCTTTTCGGACCAAAACCAATCGACTCAGCGTCCAAAAGACTACAACATATGGGCCAATCGCGGTCATCCGTGCTTTTATAAGAACGAAACGGCGCTTTCAGTGACATTTTGCATACAAATCCCCATCTAGTAGGGCGCAGTCACCCAGTTTCGGTGGAAGTGCGCGAGTTCGATTGGGATTCAAGTAGGAAGGGAGCGTCTCAGCTTTCTCGGACCAAGACCATTCGACTCAGCACCCCGAAGACTACAACTGGTGAAATTTTGATTTTTGCCTTAACTTCCCCTTTAACGATGTGCACACATAGGCTCGGATGGAGAGCCAAGGATTAATTGTAGTAAAGAAAAGGGCCAAGGAACTACAAGTTCCGCTACTGTCTTGGTTGTACTCACCTGCCTCACCTAGAATGTCATCACTCTAATAAGTCTAACTTAGAAAAAGTTCTTTTTTTTACCTTCCCAAGCTGGAAGGCTGTTGGCATGCGCATCCAAGACTAGGCTAGAGCTGATAGCCAGTTAGTTGTACTGTAGACCGTCAGTACCGTTGGTCAGTTTCGTGCGATGTTTACTAGTATCGCATGAGCTGATTGTCAACTAACTGTTGGTGTTAGTGGGCATGATGGCGTAACTTGTAGTTCCTTGGGTTCCTTGGTCCTTTTCTTTACTATAGTCTAGATTTGCGAGCAATTCTCACTTAGCAAAGTTTAACGACCCTGCCATCACACACCTGTCTTCTACTTCGAAGTATTACTCTAGTACAGGGCCAGGGGAGAGAAGGAATTAATGATGGATTCTTCCTCGTTAAAACGCTAGACTATTTAAAATCCATGAATTTCCCATCAAGTGACCGAGACAGGACAAGGACGAACCAGCTACCTTACGCTCAGGTGGTAGAACGATTCCGGCTGCCGTATTTGGCTGACAACAGTATGCAGGATTGTATTGGCGGGAAATGCTGCTGTGCCGGTGAACAACATAAACAAGTCATGTGACGGTAGCTAACACGTCGTGTATAGTGTTCTACATACCGTAGGCACACAGACACACGCACACAGACACACGCACACAGACACACGCACACAGACACACGCACACAGACACACGCACACAGACACACGCACACAGACACACGCACACAGACACACGCACACAGACACACGCACACAGACACACGCACACAGACACACGCACACAGACACACGCACACAGACACACGCACACAGACACACGCACACAGACACACGCACACAGACACACGCACACAGACACACGCACACAGACACACGCACACAGACACACGCACATACACGTGATAACACACACAGTGAAAGAGTGGACTCCGCAGCAGGCAATTCAGTGGATCACAGTACAACTGGTTGTCAGCAAAAATATCGGAACATCGGAATGCGGGCGCGTGTAGTTCAAAGGACCTTGTTAACGCGCGAGTGATTTGTTTGTGCGCACGTCACACTATGTACATCACCGAGAGCCAGCCCGGGTGCTCAGAGTAAAGCAAAACAGCATCCACAGCTTGCACAGAGTACGCACACACGCGCGCACACACACACACACACATACACACTCACACCCTGCACGGACTTGTGCTGAGTTCACGCGTCATCGCAGACAAGCGCGCAGGCAGTGACACGTGCCGTAGTCCACCGTATATACATGGCACATCCTAACACTGAGCTTCGGCACAGCCGACGCTTTGGCCATGCGGCATCCCGTACTTCAAGAAACAAACGGCAGGGAGAGAACAGCCCACCATCGGTAGTATTTTACGACCGACGTGTCAAGATGGACTATTGGTCTCCACATGGGCCAGAGAGGATGTGTCCAAGCGATCCTTGGGCGGCAGAAGAGCATTCAGTTCCTCCACCATGGCCGTGCATTTCGCCATCTTGTCCTCGACTTGGGACACCATGCGCGACAGATCATTCACTGCACGTAAAGTATTAAAAACAAAACACAAGTATACTCATACAAAAGATGTTGCAACATCGGCGGTGAATAGTGAAGAAAGTGCCTGCTCTGAACGTCAGAGCTCGCGCTTCCTACCGACTGACTTTGGATTGGATTGGATTTTTATTTATAGTGGTGACTATAACAGACAATTGCCTAATAACAATAGACCCACTCGAGGGAAAGATGCAAAAAGATATGAATAATTAATATAATAATAGACTACCGGTATTGGATAGGTGATCATGTTCGCATTTTGCATAGCTGAAAGTCATAATTACTAGCGTGAAAAAGCAAGGCATTGGGGTAACAGACTTGACACTTGACTGACTCACGACTGCGCCTGGAGCACACGAGAAGCTCGCCGAACCTCTCGGAGCAGAAATTCCATTAGCCTACTCAAGCTCACCTGACGAGGGGTGAATTCCCCGACACATTGTGTATTGAGCAGGGAGCGGTGCTTTCTTGCAGGTTTGCCGAGTGGAAGGTTAAGCGGGCTTCTCGTGTGCTCCAGACCCAGTTGTGAGTCAGTCAAGTGTCAAGTCAGTCAGCAGGAAGCGCGAGCTCCGACGTTCGGAGCAGACACTTTCTACAAGTATACACATACAGTCTGTATCGGCTATAGCGTACCCTTTTGATTTCCGTGATTTTATCACTATAACCGATGCATCACTATATGCGATACGATCGATTTCTTTTTTCTTTTTTTTCGATCGACACATGAAAGGCAAGGAAATACTTCCAGCATGGCGTTTTGACAAATAAGCCTGCTGCATAGTTGACAGTGCCCGCATTTCCTTAAAAAAATTCTGTTATGTACATGCACATGTATCACTATAAAAATAAGCAACGTGAAGAAAGTAAAAATAAAAAATAAAAAAATAATATAGTGTGTTACGCATGTTTTGATTCTTTTTTGCCATCATACTATCCGATATATCATTACATCCGATAATATTGGTTATAGTGATATTTGTACTGGATAAAATACGTTTTGCTTTTGATATTTCGTACCAATATCACTGTAGCCGATATATTCTTATATCCGGTCACTCTATAGCCGATACAGACTGTACCTCTCTTATCCAGACCTCAAAGTTAAGTGCACATTGGTCTATCGGGCACCCTGTGCGTGAGTTTTAGTGGAAATATGACAACTCTTTTGTAACTTTTAGTGGAAATAGTGACGTCATGTGCCACATCTCTGGCCCTTCCGCACTGAAGAGCACTTCGAAATACACGTATGTGCTTCAGAGTTAGGGACATTTCAAAGTTATGGGCAGTGCCTGGATATGGGTACACTATTATGGATGTGCAATCGACCGCCACTATTCAGCCTGGTCTACACCACACAGCTATGAAGTGGCTTCACACCCCCCCCCCCCCCCACACACACACGGACACACACACACACACGGACACACACACGCTGATAAAAGAGATGTCCCCCCATTATCTCCAGTGCCACTACACAGTACACAGTACAGCGTACCTGCGCGTAGCTGCGGTGCCACTCTGCTGATGGCCTGGTGTCTCATCACCATGGACTGAAACACAGCCGCCGTCATCTGCTCCATGTCACGAATACGTCGGCTTAGATAGTCCTAGAAAATACCAACAACAACAACAACAACAACAACAACATCTCTCTTATTGGCTACAGGCCATCGTGAGAATAAAAGATTTCAAACATGACACAACAGCACACATCGGTTTAGCAAGAGAGCTACAGTTGCGCTCACTGAAATCCGACCTTAAAGTGCAAAACCGACGCCCTGGACCAGTTCAGATTACATCACTGTATTTGTACATGTGTAAGTCCAGCAGCATTCATACCATTTCCAGGGTGTCGCGGGCCGTGCTACTTTAGGGCGCCGAACATGCACTCTGAGTCGGATTTCACCGAGCGCAACTGTAGCTCCGGCCCCTTAGCTATGCTTGTCATCACACCGTGATCACTCTAGGGCAGGGTAGCATGTGCACAAACCAAAGTCATGTTTCGTGTGCAGATTCACTCGACGTGAACATGAACTCGCCCACGTGTGCTTACACATCAGACGTGTGGCTGGACCGGTTGGGGGATTCCCCACCCAATCCAGCGGCAGCCACATAAGCAACAGTAGAATATCCACTGATGGGCGGCCTTGTACAGGGTATTATGCGCGGCGCTTTTCCGTATTGCTTGGCAATAGGGCTTGAAAATGATGACGTCAGAAGTCAAAATCTAACGACAAATAACGACCATTGGATCCACTTGGGTCCATACACGTTTGGATGGTTTTCCTTCGCCGCATCGCGACACATCCACCGGTATGTGTGGGTCCATGACCGGGAGTGCCTAACCCAATCACTACCGCCAGGAGAGGAATGCCAGTGCATACAGTGGTGTGATGTGCCAGCATCATCAGTATGCAATTGCGCGAGCGCATGTTCTCATAGAGTGAATATTCAAGTGAATCTTAACCCAATGTGTACTGCAGTACTGTGGGTCGCCGAAGAACTGGGGGTCAGCCTCCTAGCCTAGACCGTTCTTATTTTCATGTATTGCAGTCTACACGCAGCTGAGTTTAGTGTGTATAGTATACAATGGTATGCTGTGCTTGATGAAATACCAGCCTGATCGTTTTTCGGCGCTCCGTTCTTCGGCGCCCAGCAGTGCTGGCACCCCGGAGAAACATGCCAGGCGCTGGTGAGTCCAACATGGCCGGATTTTGATCAGCTGCCCCGGGCACACTGACCTGGTTATCCGCTACGGCCACGGCGCATTCCCGTAGGTGAGACTGGTAGCGCAGACACAGGCCGAGAACTTGCTTGTCGTTCAGTTGATCTGTAATATACCCGCAGCGCACGCGTGTGTGAACATGTACACATGTGCACGTGCACACACACACACACATATGCACACATATGCACACACGAGCGCATACACATACACACACACTTGCACACACACACACACACACACACACACACATACACACAAAAACACACACACACATTTGCTAGGTCACTATATCCCATCACTGGGAATGAATAAAAAAGACAGCCATTCCTTGACCAGACTCCCAGTCTTGTATTCGAACGGAAGCACACATCTGGTCGCCAAAGAATGGGGGGGGGGGGGTCAGTCTCCTAGCCTAGAGCGTTCTTATTTTCATGTATTGCAGCCAATGCTCAGTTGAGCCACCGTGTATACATTCAACTGATATGCTGTGCTTGGTGAAATTCTAGCCTGGTCGTTCTTCGGCCCGCCAACAGCACTGTACGGCCTGCCGCCTTACCTAGCTCTCCCAGGTCACGGGTATTGGCTACGTTGAGAGAGGAGCGAACAAGTGGATAAAACTGCACAGAAAACACACACACACAGGACATCAGAAAACGAAAAACTATGAATGCATCCTCCGACTTATATACAAGCATGGTGCACCGGTCTTGTGTCTGCCAGTTCATGACTGCAAACAGGCACTAGTCTTGTGTCTGCCAGTGCATGACTGCAAACAGGCACTAGTCTTGTGCCTGCCAGTGCATGACTGCAAACAGGCACTAGTCTTGTGTCTGCCAGTGCATGACTGCAAACAGGCACTAGTCTTGTGTCTGCCAGTGCATGACTGCAAACAGGCACTAAGTCTTGTGTCTGCCAGTGCATGACTGCAAACAGGCACTAGTCTTGTGTCTGCCAGTGCATGATTGCAAACAGGCACTAGTCTTGTGTCTGCCAGTGCATGACTGCAAACAGGCACTAGTCTTGTGTCTGCCAGTGCATGACTGCAAACAGGCACTAGTCTTGTGTCTGCCAGTGCATGACTGCAAACAGGCACTAGTCTTGTGTCTGCCAGTGCATGACTGCAAACAGGCACTAGTCTTGTGTCTGCCAGCGCATGACTGCATACAGGCACGTTGTATATTATTTTGACTGTGAAGCATCTATGTATCCCTATGTTCATTCCAACATGGAGTATTCAACTTGGTTACTATACCATAGAGCATGCCGCCAGTACACTCCCTACACACTACACACCAGTAGAGACACAAACGCATAGGCCCAAGGGTGCTTTAAGGTCTGCACAGCACTAACAGTCTCTTGAAGAGCACCCATTCCGTCTAGAGAACGTGTACAGATGACATCATGATGACATCACGATGACATCGTGTGTACGCAGTGTCTACGCAGAATGTGCAGGCAACCGCGGACTCCTGGAGCTTACATTCCCTTGGTAACGCTTGCAGTCACAGTGCAGTGCCGTGCGTTTAGTTGCTGTAAAACGGCTCATTTTAGCGCCGGTGGCATTTCAGCAATTTTAGCGTTTTGCCGCTCTAATCGAAATTTCACATGTACAATACAGTAAGTGTACTAGCCATACCTTTTTTTAAATCTCTGAAACTCGGATCGCTACAATATTTCATCATGAATTGGTCCTGATTCAGAAAACGTAAAAAAAATTGTATTAACCACTAAAATTACCGTATTTCCCCGAATACAAGTCGCACCTTTTTACACTAAAGTTAAAACTTCAAAGGGCAAAGAAGGAGATGCGACTTACAATCGAGAGTGACATGCTACTTATATGCATGTATTGAAACAATGTGGTTCAAACCTCAAAGTGTGGGTGCGACTTATAATCGAGTGCGCCTTACAATCGGGAAAATACGGTAGTCATTCTAGAGTAAAGACGTACCAGAGGTGTCTGTTCCAGCTTTGTCAGGTATGTTTCCCGTTCTTGAGGCTTAGCGGCAAGTGGATCACTCCGCACCACCACAATATCACCTGGTAAGGTCTGCAGTGATGACACCAACAAACACACGCACAGACGCGTACACAAACGCAAGCACAGACGCGTACACAAATGTACGCACAGGCACGTACACAAACGCACACACAGGCACATACTCCAATGCACGTACAGGCACGTACACAGCCGCACGCACATGCACGTACACAAACACATAGGTACACACGTGTGTGTCTCAGCCGACGATATGATTGACGCAACGTGCACAGTGCGCTGCACATCCATGCCAGGTCAAACTGGCATTCAAGGTTGCATCACATGACCCGTCGGAATGGATTTTGCACACTACTATCATGCCCACATTTAGGCCGTGATCGTTTGGTCGGACCCAGATCCAGATCCGTCGGATCCACTGGATCTGTAGTGGTCGATTGGTCGGGTCCAGATCCAGATCCGTCGGATCCACTGGATCTGTAGTGGCCGATTGGTCGGGTCCAGATCCAGATCCTTCGGATTGGGATCCGAGCAACCCTACCCCGGGAGCAGGGTTGACCGGACCCATCGGATCCAATGTGACCTTTGTGCGAATATGGCGGGTAAAAATCTTTTTTTTACTCATTGTCGCACACACCCACGCGGATCAAGATACAGTTCGCTCGTAGCATTCCGTATATGCACTTTCATTTTCTTGTTCTGATTTTAAAATCGAGATGGGCAGAAGAGAAGAGGAAAAAGCTTTCATTTTCGTTCAGTCCTTTCCTTTTCCGACTCTGTTTGCTTGCATTTTACTCTTCATGTCTTGTCCGACACCCACTGGAGCGGGCCGTTGGCCTGGATTTCAGTGGAGCAAGCGACAGACCATGGAACTAATAGCAGCAAGATCGGACAATGACCATCTATCTCAAGATGTAAATTGGTGTAAAAGAAGTGTGTGGGTGAGGATTGCAGAAAGGATTGCACGTGCGTTTCCAGATGAAGTGTTGCTACCCACCACTGAACAGTGCGAAAACAGGTGGAACAGCCTGATGAAAGTTTATATAGCGTACATGGACAGCCAGCAAAAGACCGGGAGTGCACGAAAGCCTCCCCCGCCGTTCGTCGACGACATGAACAATGCGTTTGGTTGGAAGCCGAGCATCGCGCCCGTATGCATTGGTGGTTCTCCAGTCCCGAACCAGGCTTCAAAGCGACCTGCAGTCTCGACAAGTTTGGGGTCAGATGAGGAAAGTGAGAGTGATGGCGAGGAGGTGGCCGTAGTTGCTCCCCAGGCACAACTACCAGTACCACCTGAAGTACCAACAGCAGCGGTACTTGATACAGCACTGCATGTTTCCTCCTCTTCACTTTCAGCTGCATCTGTCACATTGCAGACCCACATCAACAAAGTTGTCAATTGGATGACGCTCTGGAAGCTGAAGCTAAACGCATCTAAAACCGCTATTCTCTGCTTTCCTCCTCGTCCCAATAGTGACTTGTCTGTATTAAGTCCCTCGCCTTTCACGTTCCCTGATGACCGTACCTGTCTCTCAATAGTCGATCAGCACAAACACCTTGGGATTATCCTGGATCAGCATCTGTCCTTTGATCCCCACATTACGTACCTGGAGAAACGAGCAAGTTCTATTGTTGGCTTCCTCTCCTCTCACTTATCTCATTTCCCCCGTGATTGCCGTTTAATGCTGTATAAATACTATGTTCTGCCTGTATTTGACTACTGTTCCTCCATTTGGGCTGGCATCAGCATATCGCTCACGAATTGTCTCGAAGTCACACATCGTCGCTTAATTCGCGCTGTCTTTGCTATCCCCCGTTTGACGCCCTCTCATACTGTCTATGCTATCGCATCCAGCTGCCCTCTCTCTAACAGGCTCAGACTTTCATCATGTAAACTAATTCATAAAATTCGTCTTGGTCTTGCCCCACCTCACGTTTTATCCCAGCTTAACTGGTTTCATCAGTCCTCAGCTACCCGAAACTCTCTCTCTCTCTGCTTCCCTATCTCTCGCACAGCCACTCTTCTGAAGTCCCCTCTATTTTTGGCATATACACATTGGTCGTTGCTGTCACAGGACCTCAACACTTGCCAAATACTTTCCACTTTTGCTACTTTACTTCGCTAGGTATTCACTTGTTCTGGGCCACTGTGTAATTCGCATCTCTTGAGTTATCTTCTTTCTTTCTTCTTTCTTATACATGTATGTCTACTACTTTTCTTTTGTTGATTTGGCCTTGGCTGGCTGTCACCCCTCTCTCATTCAATATTGGCATTGCTTGCCACGAGATGATGATGCAATAATAATAATAATAATAACAACACACAAAGGCACACAATGAAAACCTTGGCAAATTAATTCCGTTGTGACTCAGAGTTTCATGGCTGAACCAATCATCAGACAACGATTGTTTCAGCCATGAAACTCTGAGTCACAACGGAATTAATTTGCCAAGGTTTTCATTGTGTGCTTTTGTGTACGCCGCTCTGCCTGAATCAGGCATTGAGCACTCTTGCAGAACCAAAGCATATTGCCTCTGTAATAATAATAATAATAATTTTTCTGTCGTTTTTCCTGTTCGCTTTCGGGCCATGCTGTGAGTTTGTACTTCGTCTTGTTTTCTCTTCTCTCTCTCTCCTGGAGATCTCAAAAGGTAACCAGCAGCTTTCGGCCTGTTTATCAATAGAGTAATTCCATCTCCATCTAACACGCTCTCTGGCCGACCTCACACACCAGCAGTATGACTCCAAGTTGCAGATACTGACAAACAGTGTTTGTCCTCCATGCAGCGCTGTTTCCACCACTACAGGTCTCATCAGTGAAGGTTGAGAATAATAAATGGCTAGAATTAATTTGAAAGCACGGTTTTACACATGTAAATAGAATGATTCTTTGTTGCCATCTTCAATAGCCCCGTCAAATAGTAGTAATAGGTTTTTCATTTGACCCGACGAAACAAAAACGAAACAAGACAACAACAACAAACAAGACAAGACTTGTCAGGCGTAATACTACTTGTATTCGTGGAGTGTGGCTGGTGAACTGTTCGTGCTGTGGTCTGCAAGCGTCGTGTGGTCTCGTCGGATCAAATGAAAAACCTATTACTAAATAGAATGAAATGAAGAAGCGTAATCCCGCGCATAGAGGTACGGTGAAACCTGTCTAAGACGACCGCTCAAGGGACCTTCAAAATGTGGTCTCTGTCACCAGGTGGTCGCCTTATCCAGGGTCAATTGACTGCACATAGCATCCCTTAGTCCTGGTCTCAGTGGTCTTTTGGGACAGGTGGTCGCCTTATCCGAGTGGTCGCCTTGACAGGTTTTACTGTAACAGACATGCTATGTGCTAACACGCATACAATGATGTAGCCGATCAGAACTAACAACAGGCATGATGAGCTAGGCAAAAACAGCATAGCGTACGGCCCTGAGCTTTCAAGCTCTCTCGTTAGGCCCCAGGGTGGTACATGCATGTCCCGGGAATCACCTGTCATCACGTGTACAGACACGACCTGTGCCACCTTGGGTGCCTAAACCTCAACGCCACACTACCCACACAGGCTACAGACCATTTCAAAACTATAGACGCGTACCTAGGCAAAAACCGTTATGCCAGCATCTATACCACATAAAATCTGTGATCACTTTGTGCATAATGTTTTTCCAAATTGGGCGCCTGTTATAGAATCGTTTAGAAACTATAATTATGAGAGTAATTGTGGAGCGGACCTGAGCAATATTCCGAAAACTATTCTCAAAACGTTCCCGCCAAATTTGAAATATTTCAAAAACGCTACGCGTTTATAGTTTTGAAATGTACTGTAGCAGAACTTCAAGTACCGCACAAGCAGAAATATTCGTCTGGAATTTAATTTCGTCTTTTTCGTCCAAGGAGCTTTTGGACTAAATTAAACGCCGGACTAACGTCGATCTGTCCAGCTTTTCAATACACTCTTGTGATCCATGGACGAAATTTTCAACCGGGCGAACTCCCTTTCTTTGGAGTTGGACGAAATTATTGACCGACGAAATTTTCTGCCTGTACACAGTAAGTATCACCAGTAGAGATAGAAACATGACAGTAGAGAGGTTTTAAGATGCAAGTTATTTCTGACGTGACGCGAAAGTTCAGCTCGCGTTTTTCGGCTCGCGCGTCGAAAAACAACGCAAGTGACCCGCAGCTCACGTCGAAATTTGGAGTTTTACGCCAAATCGTGACGTAAAATTGCGCGTCACGTCGGAAGTAACGTGCATCTTAACCTCCCTACTGATAACGCTAGTGACTACCCACCTCACTGGGTCTAGAGTCTGTCTCATCGATAATCGCTTCCCTAGAATGAGAGCAGCACACAATCACAGGTAGAAAGAAACAAGATAAGAGGAGAAACACTGAGGTTGTTCATTGGCTAAAACTAGCCGAAAAGACTTGATGAAAGCCGGAGTGTGAAGCCAACGTATGGGTGTCTGCCATGGCGAAATACATGGATCACATCATCATTAATACATGGATCACATCATCATCAAATACCGTATTTCCCCGAATATAAGTCGCACTCAATTATAAGTCGCACCCCCATTTTCTGGTTTTAGCCATATTGATTTGATATATTGACTTCAGTAATAAGTCATGCTCGATTGCAAGTCGCACCCCCTTTTTTACCCTTGGAATTTAGTGTACAAAGGTGCGACTTATATTCGGGGAATTACGGTACATGGGTCACATCATCATCAAATACATGGATGACATCATCATCAAATACATAGATGACATCATCATCAAATACATAGATGACATCATCATCAAATACATAGATGACATCATCATCAAATACATGCTGCATGGTTTGCACATGTACTGTAGAATGGATTATTCTAGCGGGTAACATTTTAGCGTTTTCTGAATCTGGACCAATTCGCGATGAATTATTTTAGCGATCTGAGTGTCAGATGAAGTTGGTTGTTCCGTGTTCTAACTTTCGCTAAGGGGCCGTCCGTAAATATCGAGCTTTTTTCACCAAACGAATTATTTTAGTTTACACTCCCCCCCCCCTTTAGAACGTAAAAAAATGTTGACATACACGCATATACAACAAAAGTTGCAAGTGTGTCACTGCTTCAACGGCCATGTACATGTACTTGATTCAATGTTTTCTGAAACAAAATTGGTCAACCCCCTCCCACCCCATAACGAAATTACTTCATTTTGTGAAAAAGTTAATGGATGACCCCTAAAATCGCTAGAATATCACCGGCGCTAAAATGAGCCGCTCTACAATATCAGCTTACTGTGTCTGACGCTGCACGGAATAGGACGTGTACGGGATGTCACCTTCAGCCTGTTTACAGTTACACACACGCATATATACCCACACAAACACACACACAAGTGCCCGCACGCACATGCGCACACACGCACGCACACGCACGCACACACACACGCACACACACACACACACACACACACACACACACACACACACACATAAGTGACATAACGGTGAATAGGTCGATTGGGTACAGCAAAGAAATCAGTTGCAACATTGCAAGAAGAACAGCAAAGAATGCGGTTAAACGCCGACGCAGCTACTGTAACCGGAATATAGGCTACAGTCAACTTCGCTTATAACGACACTCAGCAGGGCATCAAAAAAGTGTCCTTATTCGCGAAGTGTCGTTATACCCGAAGTCTCATTACTGTAAACCGCCCAATATTCGCGTCAATATATTTTCACGATTTCTCAGAACCAGCGAGTTTGCGATGGCAAAAGTTTGCGCAGCACTGGGGCCACCTACATACACTCACTGTTGAAGTTTGATTTCACGCTGGTTAATATTCGCGATACGCACTTCTCGCGAAAATAGCGAACATTAATCCGCCGCGAATATCAGGCAATTTACAGTATATGTGTTACAGTTGGATGGAACTTTGCTCTGGGCATGGACATTCTGTCGTCATTCGCAAATTGTCGTTATATCCGCAGTCGTTATCAGCAAAGTTCACTGTACATGATAACATACTGTAAGTTGACAAATATTCAGCACATTCAAATTGCGGTCTCCCAGGGCTAAAACCCATTTCGGCCGCATCAAATTTTCGGCCTGTACTGCTGCCGCCTGTATACACTGTCACACTGAACCTAGCAAAATAAAATTTCGGCCGCAACAAATTTTTCGGCCAAACACGACCAGGCCGAAAATAGCTGAAAATAAATACGTGCCGAATATTTAGTGGACTTCCAGTACCCTGTGAACGCAGAACATAATTATTACGGTTCTCACCTGCTCAGCTGGCCTGGCCCGCGCCACCGGCTTACTCCCCTCCTGACCCTGAATGGACACACACGGCAGAACAGTGAGCAAACCATGAACATACTGATACCCTATTTTCTGGAGTACAAGCCACACTTTAATTAAACAACAGTACAGTCAAACCTGATGTAAGCGACCACCCCACGGTGCAAACAAAAGTGGTCGTTAAAGCCAGGTGGTCTTTAGAAGCAGGTCCCACAGTGTCTGTGTAGAACAGTTGGTGCATGGAAAAAACGGTCGTTAAGAGCAGGTGGTCGCTAAACCCAGAGGTCGCTTGCACCAGGTTTTACTGTAATTCACGCAAAAAAGCCGGTGCTCAACAAAGTACTTTATTTCCAATGGGAAAGTACTAAACTTTTCTAATTGTCCGTAAACTCCAACGCAGCCACTTACACATCTACAGTCCATGTCAAAACTATAGACGCGTACCTAGGCAAAAACCGTTATGCCAGCATCTATACCACATCAAATCTGTGATCACTTTGTGCATAATTTTTTCCAAATTGGGCGTCTGTTATCCAATCCTTTAGAAACTATATGAGAGTAATTGTGGAGCGATCCTGAGCAATATTCCGAAAACTATTCTCAAAAAGTTCCAGCCAAATTTGAAATATTTCAAAAACCCTACGCGTCTATAGTTTTGAAATGCACTGTAGTGTAATGTACATTTGAATTTGAATCGCAGTGAAGAGGCCGGTTTTGGAGTTTGGAATTGAGAAGTGAAGTTCCCTAAAAGGTACAGTACTAGTTTGTTACATCCAGAGTACTGTATGCCATCAGTCTACAGTGTCTGCTCTAGGATTTCAAACCAACCGGGTACACGTGTACCTGGCACAACTCTTGCAACCGGGTACACGTGTACCTGACACAACTCTTGCAACCGGGTACATGTGTACCTGGCACAACTCTTGCAACCGGGTCAGAGGCGGGTCAGAGGCGGGTCAGAGGCGGGTCAGAGGCGGGTCAGAGGCGGGTCAGAGGCGGGTCCGTTCAAGTGCGGCTACTGCAGGTACATCAGGGAGTTGTAAATATGTTATGACTCCCTGATTATTACTTCAAAATATATAATTCATTTTATTTATTTTACTGATGACGCATGTATTCCCAACCAGCTCACAAGTGACCCCGTGTTCTTTTTCCAAACGGGTCCAAGTACCCCCCCCCCCCCCCCCCCCCAACAGGGTTGTTGACCAGGCTGACCCGGTGGCTCTGGACCAACAAAGTTTATACTATGATGAGCAAATAGACGTAATGAACAGGATGAACAGGGTGAACAGGATGAACAGGATGAACAGGGTGAACAGGATGAACAGGATGGACAGGATGAACAGGATGAACAGGATGGACAGGATGAACAGGATGAACAGGGTGGACAGGATGAACAGGATGAACAGGATGAACAGGATGGACAGGATGAACAGGATGAACAGGGTGGACAGGGTGGACAGGGTGGACAGGATGAACAGGATGAACAGGGTGGACAGGGTGGACAGGATGGACAGGGTGGACAGGGTGGACAGGATGGACAGGATGAACAGGATGAACAGGATGAACAGGGTGGACAGGGTGGACAGGATGGACAGGGTGGACAGGGTGGACAGGGAGGACAGGGTGGACAGGATGGACAGGGTGGACAGGGTGGACAGGATGAACAGGATGGACAGGGTGGACAGGATGGACAGGATGGACAGGGTGGACAGGATGGACAGGGTGGACAGGGTGAACAGGGTGGACAGGGTGGACAGGGTGGACATGGTGAACAGGGTGGACAGGGTGGACAGGATGAACAGGATGAACAGGGTGGACAGGATGAACAGGATGAACAGGGTGAACAGGGTGGACGTCTGTATTTCGTGACAAACAATCGGGGTGCGGCTTACACTCCAGAAAATATGGTAGATATTTCTGTCATATTCCAGTCATGTGACAGGACTCTAAGTACTAGCAAGACTCTTGGTACTACATGCTACATGTGCAGTGAAACCTGGTTAGGAAGAACACTGATAAGACAAATGTTTGCCTAAGAAGAACTAGTATTCGTAACTGTAGTGGATAAAACCCTGTGTATTCACTGGGTAAAACATATGGATAAGAAGAACTCCCGTTATTGCGAACAAATATCATCGGTCCCTTGATGTTCGTCCTAAAGAGGTTTGACTGTAGTTGGTTATGTTCAGGGTACGTGTGATCATGAGTGAAGTTTCCCTGCACAGTGAAATGATCTCAGAGAGTGTGTTGGGGCCCTTCAATACATGGATTGCATTACTCCTCAATACAGTCATGTACTTCATTCAACATAGACACAGCACTGCCACCAATGACCGACGTCCTCACCATGCTCAGCAAGCAATTGTAGGAATTCCACGACAGTAATCCAACAGAAATTCAAGAAATATGGTCACAGGAAATCGTGCTCCCGGGTGCTCATGGCAGCGCAAGCAGTCCTCGCTTGGGCATCGCTCAGCTTTTCACTAGCGCTATCAGTATCAAGCTACAAAGAAGGGTGTTGATCGAGAATATTCGGAGAAACAATCAATGCTCATTAGTCATTACTGTTTCTCTGACTCGATCGACTGGTCTGTGGAGACTGGACTGGACTGGAGACTTGACATTTCAAACGCTTGTCGATGACGTAATCCAGCAAACATGCAATTCGTTTTCGAAAAGCTGACCTACAAACTCGAGGTGTTTTTAGCGAGAAACGTAGGCTTCCCGTCCGTTTTTACTTCCCAGTCTGGATTGAAACTGTTTTTCCCCTTCTCGAGTGATTTCCTAAGGTTTTAGGCGAGTTTCGTGCTAGGTTTGAAATCTTGCAGCTTAGGGAGATGAAGAGGCATGCACAAGACAATGTTTTTCGACATTCTGAGCGAGAGTGAAATCAACAAAATGCCGATTTTTCGCCCTGAGTCGCGGGAATGCCTGAAAACACGAATGCAACAGCAAAAATGCGGCAGATCGATTTTGTTTTCACTCTTCATCATCGATGCATCGTGCATCAGCATGCAGTCATCTGGTGCATGCTTATGTTCACCTAAAATAATTTGTCCAAATTGTTGTTTCTTCGTGTCTTCGGGATAGCTTTTGCGTTTGTGCGGGTGGTCTGCAGGAGCCTGTAGCTTCTTGTACGTTGGTAGGGCATAAGCTCTTGTCTCGTCAGCCGCTTCCCAGGTGTTCACGTATATTTCCAGCTCTGTCAGATAGGAAGAGTACAGCAGAACGAAAATGGAGGGTGGCAAGTCGTCCGAGGTGGACGAGCATGAGCAGGCAGCCACTGCCTATGTGGAGAGGTATTTGGGCGTAGTTGAGAACTTCCCGAATGAGCTGCAACGAGTGATCACGCAGGTACGTGAGCTGGACACGCGAACATGCATGGAGCTGAAGGAATATCAAACGAGACACTCGACGTTCGTCAGGGATCTGACGTCTGGCGACACCAGTGCTCGTGCTCGTTCTCACATCGCTCTCCGGCGATCTCTGCTGAGAGAACGTGAGCTGGGAGACGAGAAGCTGCAGTTGGCCAACCAGCTTGTGGACATGGTAGAGGGAGCGACGCGGGTGCTGGATGAGGATTTCCAACATCTAGAGGCTGTGCAAACGGATCCAGACTATAGTATGGCGAATGGTGGCAGCTATGCACGGCATGACTATCATCAAGCCGACCACGCGGCGCATGGCGGACCCAGTGGAGTGGGAACGTCTGCAGCCAGCACCAGTAACAGTCTCACTCACCAGCAGGCGTACCCTGCCAATGCGCACCACCAGCACCAAGCTGGCTCGACCGCAACAGCCGGCTCCTCGTCACACCATCACTATCAGCAGGCCAGAAGCGACGAGCGCGGAACACACCAGGCTTCGGGACCCAATCCGAAACGTCGAAAGTCCAAGTCGAAGCAGCAGTCGGAGCAGCGCGACCCGACAGACGACGCGATGATGACATCGTCCGCCCACGCTCACAAAGAGAGCAGCAGTTCTGGCGGGCCGGGGACTGCAACGACAGCGGCATCCGGCGGTGGCGCTGCTGCTGCTGCTGCTTCTGCCACCTCTGCTGCCGCTAGCGCCGTCACCACCACTGGGCACAGTACGGGGGCCAGCGTGGGCCGGCCGGTCAAGCAGGGCAACCGCAAACCGCGCGTCAAGGACAAGATGGCCAAGCGAACGGAGAGCGGCGAGCGCGGTGGCGGTTCGAGCTCGCAGAAGAACTCCTCGTCGTCGGGCAGCGGTGTGGCCGTAAAGCCGCTGGCCACCGTTATTCCATCGGACACGGTGATCGACCCCAACGAGCCGACCTACTGCGTGTGCCATCAAGTGTCGTACGGAGAGATGATCGGTTGCGACAACACGTCGTGCGAGATCGAGTGGTTCCACTTCGCCTGTGTCAGTCTGGTCTCCAAGCCGAAGGGCAAGTGGTATTGTCCGAACTGCCGGCGCGATCACCATCGCGCCGACCAGGCCAAGCTATCGACCGCGTCGGAAAAGTCCAGCCGTGGACGGTGACATAATCATCGTGCGCGCAGGCGTCTAACGTTTATTGATCCAGCAGTGGTGGTAGGTGTGAGAGTCGTGATAGTGTGGTGTTGTCACAGATGTTCCCAGGAACTCCGGTGACAATGCGAGAGTGTTCTATCACTTGTTGCTTTGGCAGCTCTGTCTGCGGACGAATGATGGCGGTGTTGAGAACGATCTGTGGAGTATGGCATTATAGAACCTTGCGTATGCTGCTCCCATAGGCTATGTTTATAGAATTGGCTGTTGTATCTGCTCTCTCTCTCTCTCTCTCTCTCTCTCTCTCTCTCTCTCTCTCGCTCTCTCTCGCTCTCTCTCGCTCTCTCTCTCTCTCTCTCTCTCTCTCTCTCTCTCTCTCTCTCTCTCTCTTTCCCTCTCTTTAGTTCTCGCTCTCTTTCCCTCTCTTTCTCGCTCTCTCTCTCTCTCTCTCTCTCTCTCTCTCTCTCTCTCTCTCTCTCTCTCTCTCTCTCTCTCTCTCTTCTTCTTCTTCTTCTTCTCTCACTCTTTCTCTCTGGTGCTCTGCGTACCATGTTCTTTCCTTTCTGCTACTGCTGGTGTGATATGACTAACACTTACTCTGCAGCTGTTGATTGCTTTTACCCGCAAGTGGTTACCTGGTGGCGTGCGAACACATGTGTGTGCTCCTCGCTCGCAAGCCTTCTTTTTTTTGTTGGCGGCTTGTCAGCCATCTGTTCTTCGGATTGTACATATGACATTCTCGTTCATGTGTGCGTGTACGTATATAAGTGTGTGTAGATACCTGGCGATGATGCACTGCACGAGCAGTGTACTTGCGCTCTGCGGCCTTTCTCTAACCGCTTCCGTCTGGCGCGCGCTATGACTTTGTGACCACGCGCTGCAGGATATGTGAACACAGCGTGTGTTTGTGTGCGTGCGTGCGTGTGTGATCACGTGTCACCAAGGCCTGCACATACCCGGTTCACGAAATGTCAGGAATGTCATCGTCATGACTACCATTATGCTGCATGTATTAACAGAGTGTAATTGGCTGCTGCTGCTGCTCTCCCTCTCTCACTCTCTCTCTCTCTCTCTCTCTCTCTCTCTCTCTCTCTCTCTCTCTCTGGCGGCGCGTGCGCTTCTCGCAATAGTCCTGCGCCGCTCGGCACTGTTCACACTTAGTTTATAATTCCTCCACTACCTCTCTCACCCATTCCCTCTAGCTTACTCCTCCACTACCTCTCTCACCCATTCCCTCTAGCTTACTCTCTGTCTCTATCTGCCCTAGGGACTGACGTACACATACATGTACATGGAGATTTCTGGCTCCTTTCTAGTACCTTGTAGTATAGCCGCGTGGTGTCTCAGCTCTGCAAGCTGCTTAGTGTCTTTTGTCTTTTTCTGTTTGAAATTTTTTAAGTTGCCGATGATGGAGTTTGTGTTGAGTTGCCCGTAGTGTAGTGTGTGCATGTGATCTGCTGCCTGTGTGTGTGTGTGTACACGTGTGTGAGTTTGTACGTGTGTGTGTGTGGGTGTATGTATACGTGTGTGTGTGTGTGTGTGTGTGCGCGCGCATATGTGTGGGTACGTGTGTGTGGGGGGGGGGGGGGGGGGTGTCTGTGTACGTGTGTGTGTGCGCGCGCATGTGTGTGTGTATGTGGGTGTAGTAGTGGTGGTGGTGGGGTTGCCGAACTTCGCCAAGATACCGTTACATGATCTCTGACCTGCTGCTTTGCCGCCCTTTACAGAGCAGCTCGATCTCTGGGTCAGTGTGTGAGTATGAGTGTGTATGTATCGCTTCCACGATGGACGGGTCTGAAGTTTGAGGTGTCTGTGTTTATGTGTGGTGTGTGTGTGTGTGTGTTTATGTGTGGTGTGTGTGTGTGTTTATGTGTGTGGTGTGTGTGTGTGTGTTAATGTGTGTGGTGTGTGTAGTGTGCTACTATAGTCTGGTTGTTTTTGTACTGGTATCCGTAAGTTTGCTTGCTCACAGTCTACGCAAAGATGTTTTCCGATGCGATGGATTATGATCAATCTGTTGTGTTCGTACTTTTGAATGTTGTTGTTTGTGCATGTGAAGAACTTCAATACAACATTCACAAGTACGAATGCGACAAATTGATCATCGTGGAACACATCTTTGCCTAGACGGTGAGCAAGCAAACTTACATACCATACCCTAAGGCCTTGGTGGATAATCGGCAAAATTTGATGGTTTTTCTGGTATGTGCCATCAAGAGTACAAAGGTTTTCATGTACTCTTGGTGCCATGCATACCGCCGCATGTACCCGTATGTGGATATGGAATTTTTAACGAGAATTCGAGGAGTTGCCCGCCATAAGTTCTGTATGCCTCTGCCTATTTCAATTCTTTTCGAGCAGAATCTGCGAATGTTTTAGCCTTATCCCCCAAGGCCTTCTACCGGTAGTATCACCATGTCGACATACGACTCATACTGCCAATTGCCAGGTACTACAAGTAGTGTAAGTATGGGATTGCCCAGGGATTGCCCTATCAAAATTTAATAATAAAAACGAATACATTTTTCCCGAGTTTTTTTCATGTGCATCTATTTTTCGCGGGCTTTCTCCTTGTTCAGGGGCCGCGGGGAAATCCCACACTTTCCCTTTCTCATGGTTCCACGTGCGTTTGAAAGTGAAAGCGAACAAGTACAGTCCCGCTCTAGATCTAGTAATAGTATGGCTATGAAGTATGATCGATTGTGAAGTCGTAGATCTACTCCACTGACACAGTCTTCGGAAAACTTGTCCAGACTTGTCCAGGTCACCACGAGGCAGGAGCGGGAATGTGTTTGGATAAAACCAGCATGCCAATCGATCGAGAGCATTTCAGAGTGCCAGACTATCCCATTGCTGTTGTGCAGGGCATCACGTAGCTTTCCGTGAAGTCTTTTTTTGACTTTCTTTCCTTGCATTGAAAATAAACAAGAACCGAACATGCCCACGTACAAGCTCACTTATTTCGATGCCACGGGAAGGGCAGAGCTGAGCCGGCGGATGTTCAAACTGGCGGGAGTGGAGTTCGAGGACGTTCGTGTAAGCAAAGATGAATGGCCCAAGCTGAAGGCGGTCATGCCGCTCAAGGTGATGCCGGTCATGGAGGTCGATGGGCAGCTGATTGTGCAGAGTGGATGCATTGAACGCTATGTTGCTGAAAAGGTGAGCGCAGGCAGTGAAACCTGTCCAAGAGGACACATGGAAATTTGCTAAAAAATTCGGCAATCCCATACTTGCCAACCCAGCCAAAGCAAATCCCTTAGGGCCTGGTCAGACTGCGGCAAAATCGAAATAATCCTGGGATTATAATCCGAATCTCCATAGTAACTTGCCGCCAGAGCGGCAAAAGCGAGAGTTGACGCTCCAAAAAAAAAGCAAGAACGGGCCACGCTTTTCCGCTCCAAACAGGATTTGACGCTGATACGCCATTGACGCTGATAATCACTGATTTTTCATCTCGATATCGAGGAGCTAATTGGCCACGGACAACAACAAAACTCATAAGGATGGTTGCAAGGATTGCACTGAAGGTGTTGGCGATCCCAAGGTGAAGGAATTTGACGTCGTTCGTGGAGATTACCACTTGACGCTCGAAATGAAGTTTGAATTTTCATTCTCCCCACATGTGTAGTGTGATCGCGATTCAAATTCTGGACGCTGTTCTTTTTTCGTCAGGCAACCAAAAGTTGCCGCAGTCTGACCAGGCCCTTAGTCACAAACCCAGTTTCTCTCATTTCCCTTATTTTCCTGGTTTTCGCCAAATTTGGCCATTTTCTCTTTTTTTTTTGGGGGGGGCAATTTTTGATTATTTTTGCGTATTTTTCCGCAACTTTTTGGATATTTTTTCTTTCCTTATATTCATTCGCAATATATTGGGGGACCAAAACCTGAGTTTCTTTATTGTCAGATCGCCCCTATGTTGTGTGATTCTGCGAAATGCAGGGCCGCATGTGCCCTTCAACGGTCACACCACAAAACAACCTTTTTTATGAACACTCATGGTTCAGTGCCAATACCGGTAGTTTTCAATCAACGTCAATCAAAAGGCCCCGGTATGCCGGTAGTGACCGCAGTTTCCCGGTATAATACCGGGAAAACCGGTATGGTTGGCAAGTATGCAATCCCTGTGCACACGTCAGGCAGTTCAATATTCTTATTCTTGGGAGAGCTTGATTAGACTGAATTTATCTGACATTGCACAAGGGGTAAATTCTTGTTCTTGTTGTGAACTGAGAAAGAAGACAACTAATGCGCAAGGCGCTTGCGCAGAGACAAAAAGGAGCAGGAAAAAACATGGAGGACGTAGCTTAGAGGTGAGTGTGTACGTCTGGAATAATCTATGCGTACGGAAGTACGGCATAGCATAAATCTGATGACAAGAAAACATCATCAGTCAGCAGAAACAATAGACTCGCAGCCCAGCTTCGGTGTGGGAACGCGGAAACAAACTGGGAATGAGAACACAAAAACTATGACGTGTACATTGGCTAGTACGCGTACTCTGAAGACTAAGAAACTACACTGCAAATAATCTCATGACGTTGAGCATCATGTCAACGTCGTGACAATCCCAGCTTCAATTGCAATTTCCAGATGAGGACGCCTGTGTGTACCAATATGTGTGTGTGTGTGTGTGTGTGTGTGTGTGTGTGTGTGTGTGTGTGTGTGTGTGTGTGTGTGTGTGTACAATGTGTGCATATTGATGTGTGTGTGTATGTCTGTTCGTCTCCACAGACGGGCCTCAACGGAGGCGAGTCGCCGGCTGCCCGTCTCCAGGTCGACATCATACACACAACGGCCATGGAGTACATTCTTCTGCCCATGCCCATGTTTGGAGAGAAGGACGAGGCCAAGAAGGCAGAACTACGCCGCGAGTTCCTGGAAGACAAGCTCCCTGTGTGCATGGACTTTCTCACCAAGGAGCTGGAGCAGGCCAAGCAGGACTTTGGCAGTGACGAGTTCTTCGTCGGCAAGGTTACCATGGCCGACATTGCAGTGAGCCTGCTCCTGGAGGTGCTGGTCTGGGCGAAGCTGGCGGATGACGTCATGCCCAAGTACCCGCTGATTCAGGCGCTTGTGGACCGTGTCAACGCGTTGCCGCCGATCGCCAAGCACCTGGCCAATACCAGCCAGAAGTAGGCGTGTGACCGTGTGCGACAGTGCCGGGGACGGTGCGTAAGTGTTTGTTTCTTGTTTTTTTTTTGCTATGAGTATGAGGAAAGCAGTGTGTCGGTACCCATTGCATTTCCAGGTGTGTGTGTGCTCCACTTCGTGACGAGACAGATACATGCTGTGCTAGGTGCGTTGTGAGTGTTTTGGACAATGTGTATATTACTCCTGGCGTGCGATGCTTGAGATACCCGTACAGGTCATGCGAGTGCATGTACCAACGTTTGCAACATGTCGAAACTGCAGCTCGTCATCAGCAAAATCCGCACGTTGTGAATTTGTTGTTTTCGTGCGGGCCAATTTTTTAGTTGCCGCAGTGTCTTTCTCTCTTTCCCAAATTTCGAACTGGCGCAATCGACAGTACATGTACAGCACACTTACTACTCTTCCCAATTAGCCTTATCGTTATACCCAACCTATTGTATGTACCGGTAAGCGATTCACCCCGAACGTGTCACTACCGGTATTAATGATAGTCACATCCAGTAGTGCCCGCCTAAAGTATGTGGTGTGGTGGTTTGGAACTTTGGAACTCTGCTGGAATTTTAACACCTGAGCAGCTTTCGTACTTCTCAACCCATTTTAGTTTCTTATTTTTCAGATCGGTTCTCAGTCTTTGATTTCTCGTGTTCATTCGTTTCACCCCACGTGATGACCTAGTGTTTGAGGCGATACCGGTGTTGTGTGTGTGAGGGGGAGGAGAGAGATTTATGATATACTCCAATTTTAAGTGCTCAAAATCAAAGTTTTAGGTACGAGGGCAAAAGGCCAGGTTAGGTGAACAGAAATAATAGGTACAGAGAAGCAGTTCCCTACTGGATTGTACAAGTATGTTTGTTTGGTTATTGAAATTTTAGGTATGAAACAGATGCATCGAAAGTACCGAAAATAAAAAGGACACCGAATATAATAATTATAATATCAGATTGTGATATCGGCCGTATTTACTTGTAGCAAGGTTGAAATTCCTTCGTGGAGTATGAAACCATGCCATGGAAGGTTGTAGAGCATTCATATAGTGATACACATACATGAATGCCGACCACAGTGCTAGCACTTCCAACCCGGCATCCGATTCCGGTCGGGAACCAGTCAGTTCGGCCTACAAAATATAATCCCCGTAGTCAGCATAATTATATTATGTGAATGCACCATGAGTCGAGGCTCAAACGAACAGTGAATATTAAATTTTGTAATTGTAGACTTCACGGTACAGTCAAACTTGCGAATAATAGCCCTCGATCATGCAATGGTCCTCATAAAAGTGTTATTCGCAAGGCTGTCCCTGCGGGAATTTGCGGAAAAAATCCTCGAAAACTTGCGCAAGAAAGTGCGGCAGAAAACAACAAAAAATGCGGCGAAAAGTGCGGAACTTGCCAGGAACTCGCGGAATTATTGGCAGAAAATTGCGGATTTGGGCCAAATCACGAAATTTGTTGTATCCTTAGAATCGCTATTTGCGTACTGTGGAAATAACCTATGAGCAGAATCATGGAAAGCACTGTATACTGCGTGAAAAGTGCAGAAAAATGTCAAAAGAAGTGCAGAAAACAACAAAAAACGCGGGAAATCGCGGATTTTTCAGAAAATCGCGGGTTTGGGCCAAAATCGCGCGTCCGTGGAATCGCGATTTCCTGGAGGGACAGGCAAGGTGTCGGTATTTAATATCCTACTGTACAGGTCGTCCCCCGTTAATACGAGTCCGGTTAGTACATAAACCCCGTTAGTACATAAGAAATCTCAAGTCCCGGACGAAACGTGGTCACTTCCATACAAATTTTGTCGGTTAGTACATAATTCGTTAGTACATAAACCCCGTTAGTACATAACATTTCTCCGTAACCGCATGCCACCTACCTCAATAGTACATAATTTGTTGTTCTTTTGGCCTTCCAGTGGAGGCACATCGTGTTCTAGTTTCTACTTGTGGACGCAATTAGCTCAGAAATCAGAGCGCACATCAAAAACCGACAAAGCTCTGTTGTTTTTTCGAGTGACTACAGGCGCCGCTGGGCATGTATCATGTTGTCAACTGTAGAATCTTCGCTGACTGTGACCGTTATAACAAAATTTTTATGTTATATCGAGGGAATCAAGAATATCTCGCTCCCTAGTCATGGCAGCAAGAAATACTCAGAAAAATTGAAAAAAGTGAAAAATTCTGGTATACAAGCAAGTTATGTACACTGTCGTTTAGTACATAAACCCCGTTAATACATAACATTTGTCAAGTCCCAGAGATTATGTATTAACGAGGGACGACCTGTATTATGATCGAGGTTGAGACTGTACTGATGCAGGAAACAATGATAAATCACTACAAGGTCCGAAGATTGTTTTACTATACACTTTAATAGTATACCCGAGCCGTCCTTATTCACCAGGTAACTGGTTTACTGCACAGAGAAAGGAAACTAAAAATGTTTTAGCTGTATAAATGAACTCACAGTTTCACACGTACACTCATCCATGTGCCTGGTGTGCCTCACTAGCACTGGTTATCTGGTCACCAACGTTTATAATACAGGCACATTGGTACATGATCTACCATGGCAAGAGCACATGAAACTCAGGCTTCACGTGCTCTTGCTACCGGGCATCCTTTGAGTGAGTTTTAGAGGAATTAATACTCTTCTTATCACTTTTCGTGGAAATAGTGATGTTATTATTATGCATTGCTGCTGATCGTGATATGTACAGGCAGCTTGTTTATCAGTGTAGTTAATTTTTTCTTTTTTTCTGTTCTTTTTCAAGATGGGTGCTGCTGCCTTATGACACACATGGCGCCCCTACGACCAGAATGGTTATGGGTTAACTTATACATACTGTTAAATGCATACATACATATGCCATGTGTGTGACCTTTCCCCATCAAAATGCATACGATTGGGAGTTACGGACAGGTCCCGGACCGCCCGGAATGAGTGCATTATGTACACTTATACCTCGCTTATCCGGACACCAAAGTTATAGGCACTCGTCTACCAGGTACCCTTGGTTTTGGGTCAGTGTGGCGGTGGAAATATTCCCACTCTTTCCTTACTTTTAGTGGCAATAGTGATATCAGTCACATCACATGCCATATCTCTAGCCTTTCCCCATCGAAATGTACATGTATCAAATTCCGAGTTACGGACATTCCAAAATTATTACGGGCAGTGACCGGTCCTGGACTGCCCGGATATACGAGATAGGAGTGTACGCGTACATGCCTAAGCCGCGGATCATCCTCTCTCTTTCTCTTTCTCTTTCTCTCTCTCTCTCTCTCTCTCACTCTCTCACTCTCTCTCTCTCTCTCTCTCTCTCTCTCTCTCTCTCAAGCTGCCGTAACAACTCCGAGTGTCCCCTGTGGATTACGTGGTTACACTGCCCCGCATTTGTCGCATACTCAAAACAGCATAGAAAAGTGTGGTTTAAAGTCATGTAGTACATTGGCCATTATACATGTATGAATATCTACATGATAGAATGTACAGCATTGCCAGTATTACAAGAAGGGAGTAGTAAAATACCTACTCCCTAGTAACAAGCTAGCGTCATCAACTTCAGCTTCCTCAAATTAAATGAAGTTTAGAAAATTTATTTATACAAGTACTTCATCTAACACTACCAGTTTGACAAATGTGATTGAACTTAGAAATAGACAAAGTGGGGCAGGTGGTCATCGGGAGTGGGGAGGGGATGACATTCCATCTTTGTAGAAAGAGAGAGAGAGAGAGAGAGGGGGGGGGGAGGGAGAGGCGGGGGGGGGGGGGGGGGGGAGGGAGAGAGAGAGAGAGAAAAAAGGTTCTAGACATTGGGAGCTACTAGCAGGCTGATCCTGTCCGGGTTCAGCAATACTATGAGATGGGTAGAAGTTTGCTGGCTGCATAATAATAATAATAGTAATAATATGAACAGCTCGCATATTACTCAGAGTTGAGCTCTACGAATCTGTGAGTGAAAAGGTTCTATTCATATCTGTTTTTGGCTAAGACAAAGCCTTCAGGCACAGTGATGCTGGCTGCATAACTTAGCCATAAGGTCCTGCAAAGTGTACAGTATCCTGTGATAAGGAGAAGTGCCGGATACACTCCTAACTGCGGACTGCGTGACGGAAACGCTGCGTGGGTCACCGCGATGCAATGGCCGACACTAGGATGATTCTGCCGCCGTGGTGCTGGGTGGATCGGTGACGGTCTGGCTGTGCTCCGGCTCGGCTTCAGCCTCGGGCTCGCCTTCCGGCACACTCTCCGGTTCACCGTGCGGTGTCTGCAGGACGGCGGCACTGCTTACTCTAACCTGCTCTCCGTCACCGCCGCTCCGCACGGCCGTCGTGATGCAGCTGGCACTCGGCGTGGCACCATTCTCCCCCGCCGTCGCCCCGTGGCTCTGTTCACATCTGCTGCGGCATGCCGTGGGCATGCAGGCCCGGTCCTCGCGCCACGACTGCAGCACGAACCGTGCCAGCCACGTGGAGCTGATCGCCGCTGCCGCTACATCCTCCACTATCAGCGGCATGCCGAGACCTGACAGCGTTGCTATGGTATTCAGCACGAACGTCTCCTCCGTCGGTGACAGCTCCAGCATGTCGTTGTGCAGGAACATGTAGAGCAGCAGTCGCGTCAGCGGCATCCCAGACTTGCCGTTGCGGTGCGTGGGAAACGTCTGGGCCAGAGGGCCGGTCACGTGCCAGAACAGCCCTTTGCCGTTGTTTCCGCACGAAAGGATGGAGTCCCATCGCGACGGCAGATCGTCGGAGCGCAGAAGGCTGAACACTGTCGGAGCTTTTCCGATCTTGCGCCGACGCCGCCTGACGACCTTCGACGTCGGAGCCAAGTGCCACCTGGAAGTGGACTCGAAGCGATTGAGCAGCTCCGTGAGTGTTGTCACCACCTCGATCACCTTTCTGTCGCGAAGGCAGGCGTTATCGGAAATGGCTTCGTCGCTCTCGTTGTAATGGGTCCTGGCCAGGCGAATGTTGGTTCGACCACGAAAGGGTTTGTGCTTCAGTGGCAGTTCGTCTTTGGGAGTGCGAAACGGAGCCTGATCCAGTAACCGTACAGCGTCATCAGTCGTCACCAGCGTTCCCCCTACCTTGAGTAATCGCTTGGCAAACCGAGCGACGAGCACAGTTTTCTTGCCCGCTACATCCTCGTTCAGTAGGTGCGTTCCAGCGTTCACGAAGGCCACTCGACACTGCTCCTTGTGCAGCGCATTCCTCACATCCTCCTCGCTGCTCGAGCGATCCAGCAGCGTGTAATTTACTCCAATCATTCGCAGCAGCATTCCGATATTGTCAGAATCGCCAGAGAGCACGGTGACCTTCGCACTCTGCAGCGCGCACTTCTCCTCGTCCGTCAGCAAGCCGACGGCGTAGCGCGCGCCCAAGAAGAACGTCGTACCGCGGTGGGTGTCCTGCGCGTCCGCGACACTCATTCCCGCGCCCGCTGCCGCCGCGCCGCGCCCCCTGGCCGAGGCTGAACCATGGTTTCCGCTGCGAGAGGCTTCGGAGATGCCCAGCGTGACATCACTACTAGTATGCTCCGAGATGTCCATCACTTGGCTAAAGCTTGCACGACACACGGGAAGATTCGCACTGATCACTGTGAGGGATAGAGCGACCACGAACCTCGCCAGCGTGTCTGAACGTTGCACCATCGCGACC